GCGCCGCGGCCTCGGAGCCCGCCGCCCCCAGGAGGGGCGCTGAGAACCCCGCATGGGCACCGGGCGGATCCGGCGCTGCCACACGGCTGTTTCATGCCTCTCCACGGGCAGAGGCAGAGGACATGCCGTGTTGTGACGTGCACGCACGCTCGCACCTTCGGTCCCGTCTGCGGTCACACCAAGCCCTGAGCGCACACTGCTGTCGGTCCTCGCCCAGCGCGGCCGGCCCGGGCCCAGCTCGCCCTTCCCTCCCCACGTCCCTCCCTCCCTCCCAGGCCCACGTCATCCTGCATCTGCTACTGAGCCCTGGGTCCCGCCCCACACACCGTGCAGGCCACCTCCCTGCTCCACCGCGCCCCGGCCTGGTCCCCACCTGAGCCAAACACCTGCAACAGTGCGTGGGAAAAGGAGAGTCGGCCAACGCGAACTCTTAAAATTCATTCCAACCCCGACAAAACTAGTGTTCCTGTGACGACTTCCCACTGTGTCCACGGGCGCTGAATGGTTCCATCCCCAGGCTGCCTGGGCTTGACCCATAGTGGCCTCTGACCTGGGCCCGGGCCCCTGCTCCCGGGGACCAGGCCCTCTCCCTTCCCCGCTGGCCGCGCTCTCCCACCGAGGCGCCCACTAGACGCCGCTGCGTGGACGCGGTGCTGTCACAAACGTCTCCGAGCGTTTCGCTCGGCGCGTGTCGTGAGTGTGCTGGGCTGACCACGGGGCTGGGCCGGGCGGCTGACCTGAGAAGCTCCCCAGTCTGGGCGCGGTCACGTCTCCCCCGTCGTAGATCTCCAGGGAGTCCCAGTTCTGCTCCGTGGCGAAGCTGATGACCTGAATCTGGCGAGCAATGATACTCAGTGAAAAAATGAATTTCTGGTTCGAAGCGATCAGCCTAATCGTGAGGTTTTCATGCGATTAACATGCATGGGAGAGAAAGGCGAAACCCAAGTAAATCGAACGAGGACGTCCCACGATTTCTGCCAGCGGCACTTTTGACAGACTGTACATTCTAAAAACACATTATTTTAATGTCAAAGGTAAAAACGTGATGACGGACACTATAGAAATAGTAAGGAGAGAGAAACAGGTCACGGTTCATGTATTTAACCACGACGAGAAAGAAGGAAGGAAACGCACGGCCCTGGCTGAGCGCGTGGCATCGGAGCCTCCGGCCGCAGGACGCACCTGAATTCCCGACCCCTCGGTCACCGCGATCCTCCACAGGCAGTTCAGGTTGTTGCCGTAGGGCTCGGGATAGCCCGGCGACAGGAGCGTGCCTCTGCGCTGAGTGAAGTTGCCACTGCAGGGGACTAAGACACAGCCGCATTTAGCAACCGACACGGGGGGGGGGGACACTCGAACCTGGGGCTCCATGCTCCGTGCTCCCCTGCTGGGCGATCCTCTCAACAGACATTTTACGTGGACCGTGATACTTTATGTGGCAGTTTTTGGCCAAGGTCAGATTTAGTCTCCTTTAAATTGGCAATGCCACTGGTTCCTATTTACTACGCCGCTAAGGCGCAGATCTCGTGTCTGCAAAGACCTCTCTCCAGGTCTCTGAAAGGACACGGCGTCTCCGCAGTGAATTCTGTTCAGAGTCATTCCCCTGCGCGTTTAAGGAGCTGCGCGAGCGCTCACGGCCGCAGGCAGCCGGCAGCGGGCTCCGGGTGACAGTGACAGCGAGCGCGAGCACGTCCAGGGCGAAGAGACGCTTGTGACCTACACGCGAACTCGAGCGCTGAGCAAATGAAGCAAATAAACTACAGCTAACAATGTCGTTGTCGTTCGGGCCGCTTAACCTGTCACGTCTCAAACCCTCACCAGGACACGTTCATTAAAAGGGCATGACACAGACGACAGGCAAATCAACAACATGACTGTTTTCCCTCCAGACGAGGCTCCGCCGTGGGCCCGCGGCGCGGGAGCCGACCGCGCGTGACGCGCTTTGAGGAGGAAACGCGTCTCCCGCTCGTTAATGTGACGAGCGGGTCCTCGAGACCCCGCCGTCCCCAGCGCTGGGGCTGCTGCTCGCTTCCGAGGAGGCAGAGGCTCTGGGTGGGACAGGTTAGGGGCGGGACGCAGCACTGACCGGCGGCGCCCACTGCCGCGGGACGCCACTCACCTACGCAGCTGGGGACGGTGTCATTCCACTGGGCCAGAGCGCTGGGCACCGCCTGGCAGCGGACGGCCGCGGAGCCCTGGAGCAGGTACCCCGCGTTGCACTCGAACCGGACGATCGAGCCCGCCGAGAACTCGGAGCCGATCCTCCTCCCGTACCTGGGCTCGGGGACGGAGCTGCACTGCGTGTCGCTGGTGCGGGGAACGGCTGGAGGCAAAACACACAACACGGCCGGCGGCTCTTCATCCCGAAGGACTCGGGCGCGCCCGGTGGGACGGGCCAGTCACGGGAGAACAAGCCCCGCCCACGGCGCTTACACCGCCCAGGTCGCAGGAGGGGTGCAAGGCGGCGGGGGTGGGGGGCCACACTGTACGCGTCGCTCACTGCTGGCACACGGGAGGGTGAAGCCCACGTTACTGAAGACACCAAGAACCGTGGGAAACGCACACTCGGGGGCCTCGGTCTAGGTGGGGGCACTTGGGAGGAGACACGGAGGAGACAGCAGGGTCCCACTGCTGGAAACAGACCCGTGTCTCTAACAGAGTGGCTGCTGACACGGGCCACACACCCTGCGACCCGGGCAGTCGGAAAGTCCCCTGCAAGCTTAGGCTTTAAACACAGGTCTCCCCACGGCACAGGAGCGCTGTTCAGAACGTTCCCACACACGGGGGCCAGCCCTCGCCAATGTCCACGTGCCCGCTGTCCCTCAGAAGGCCCGTTCCACTGAACTTGTCATACGGTGGAAACTGGCCGGGGTCCTCCTGAATGTGTGTGGTCGCACGCACGGCCCCGCTCGTTAGCTCCGAAGGGCTCAGCTTCCGTACAAAGACACCAATTTTTGCATAAAGTCACGATAGGTACAAAGCAAGGAAATGAAGCACATTGGAACTTCATGAAATATCGAGAACCAGTAGGTATTTTTAAGTACAAGGAAAATGTACTTCTCTGTAAAAAACTGTCTTTTCTGTCTCCCTTTCTGTACTTTATGCATTTTAATGATACTGTGTTACTTTAAACAAAGAAACATAATTTTAAAAACCATGACTTCTAAGAGTGACATTTGAAAACAGGATGCACATTGGGTCATCTGCCTCAGATGCTCTATCTGATGCTCTGACTGATTTTCTATTATTTACAAAAAAATCAAAGGAAGCCTCCTTTCAAGGCAGACAATGCCAGTAACTGATTTCTCCAGGATGGACATGTACTTAACCCAAGTGGTCCAGTTTCTTTACACGTCACACCAATTCACTTTGTTTTGCCAGCCTGCTTTTGCAAAATGTAACATAGAATTTAGTTTAAGAAAATTAGGAATGGCTAAGAGGTAAGTTACCTAAACCTACCACTCTGCAATGAAGTCTATTGTTTAAAATACCGGTTTGATTATCTATCTTTCCACAACAGGTATAATTTAGAACAATGTAACTCTGATTCAATAGCATCATCGTCCAAGCAGCTGCTACTCAGATGGGATTAGAGATGTTTTCCCTCTTACACGCCTGTAAATGTCATCCTCGCCCTCCTTCCGTGACTTTCAAACCGCTGGGCTGCTGAACGCGGAAGGGTTTTTACAGTTACGTGTGTTGAGGGCATGGGTTTTGCAGCGTGAGATTCCTACAAGGAGGACAATGTTACAGACTGTCGTTCACAACTTTCCGGAAAACGTGACGTGGCCAGGCGTGTTCGCTGGGGCCGTGCTCGTTAAGGAGGAAGCCATTGCTAGGACGCCGACCTCCGCGTCTGAGAGGAATGTTTAACGGGCCAGGAGCGTCTCTCGCTGCAAGCAAAAGCGAGACCTAGAAAATCGAAGCGCTGCCTCGTAGTGAGCGCGCACGGCTCGTCTCTGGAGTCATCACACCTCGGAGCCAGACCGGGCCCCGGGCTTCCGAGCGTGTCGGCGGCCGCGTGGTCCTGCTTCAAGGCCACGTTGAGGAACATGCGAAACAGAGGTGACCCATAAATAGGGAAAACATCCCTGTTTTTCGGAAACTTCGAGCAATCGCAACCATTTTGAATAAGCTTCAAATTCAAAAATAAATATAAAGGTGTCAAAATGGCAAAAGTCAATAGAACACAAACAAAATAAGTTTTTAGAGTGATACGATGCATGAACTTTAAGTTTTGCTTGGTTTTGTTAAACTATCTTCAATTAGTTTTTGTGGTAAGATTTGGGACTGTGTGATTTATTTTATATGTATTTCATTGGAGCAGTTACTAAAATCTAAACTATTACAAACTAGCTTACTTAATTAGATAAAAAATAACATGCAGGAAATCATTGTGCAAAATGTGCAGTGCTGTATGCGAGTAATTTGATCAATATTTGTTTTCCTGTGTATGCCGGATAAATGAAGTTTTATTGGGTCAATGTAGTAGAAATATATTTAGGTGTCAAACTAAGAATTTCAATATTTTTATTACATAGTTTTATTATAGATATCTGCATGCTCTCAGTTTCTTAAATGCCCCAAATGCAACTCAGGCACTCTCAAGGCCTGACCTGGGGACAGAGGTCTGTGTCCTGTCAGGAGCCAGTGACGCGCTGTGACACTCACCTTGGTACATGAAGTGGAAGCCGCGGGCCGACCCCCCACTCTTCGCGCTGAATCTGAGCAGAATTTGATTCGACGTCGCCAAAGGCAGCGTTTCCCCTGGGGAAGGTAAGAGATGGCACGTGGGGCCCGGAGTGCGCATCGCTGAGGTGGATGACGCCCCGGCCAACAGTTCCCCTGTAGCAGCTGAATCGTCATAAAGCTTTGCTTTGGGGTTTAGGACCCAAACACAACGTTTCTACAAAAATACCTTGAAACGTCTGTTCTTGCTTTTACTCCCTATTAAAATGTTATTTTAATCACTATCGCATGCATGCTTCTTTTGAAGAAAGCACTGATAATAGGCCTAATAACGGATAAATGGGAAATATAAGAATTTGGTGAATCACTGATTCGGAATGAACTTCATCTAATAATTACTTGCTAAGATTTTACTTAACATTAGGGGAACGTCTCTGAATCCAGAGCCGGACTGGGGACACCCCTGTGAGAGGCATCTTCCACCCTCTGAAGTGCAGGTGAGGCCGGGGCGCTGGCG